ATCCGAGGCAATGGTGTATTTGTAAAAAGAGTTACAGATGATGGTGAGGATGGATTCTATGGCTTTGTTAAACATATCTACGAGTTGGTATACAATTACTTGGACTCGAAAAATAAAGTTGTCTTGTTTTATTGTGACTGGTACGATCCATTTTCCAGAGGTACAAAAATAGATAAGACATATGATACTGTTGAGATTCGAATGGACCGAAGGTACAAAGAGTATGACCCTTTCATAATGTCACATATTGTTAGGCAAGTTTACTATGTTCCTTATCCTTCAATTGTGCCACATAAACAAGGGTGGTATGTTGTAATCGAAACAAAACCATTGAGTCATATTGAAACAGGTGATGTAATGGAAGATGTTGCTTACCAAGTTGATGAAGTTGAACAAATTAATGATGTGATTGCAATTGAACAAATTATAAGTTTGTCTGATACAATGGTTGAGGGGCATCAAGTTGATGCATCTATATTGTTGGTAGAAAATAATGTAGACGAAAAGCATGAAGAGTTTGGATCCGAGGACAATATCACATCAGATGATGAGAATGATATGGATGAAGAGCATGGAGATTTTGAATAAATTGTTTTTGTAATTTTACTTGATGAAACCTTGTATTAGATGTGTTAGTGTATATATATATATATATATATATATATATATATATATATATATATATATATATATATATATATATATATATATATATATATATATATATATATATATATATATTATTCATGTTGATGAATATATATTAAACGTGTATTCTCTATAAATAGGTAAAATGCCACTCCGATTTATGTTGATGAATATATATATTATAATTATCTATCTATTTTATTTGAATGTGTTATAACATTGTAGGAAAAGTGTACATGGGAAAAAAATGAATGAGAATGGGGTTGAAAAAAATTATTTTGGTAGAACATCAGTTCGACTTTCTGTCAGGCTACGACGTGCTAGAAAGAGTTGGAAAAGTGAGAATATTCGTCTCAACTGGATAGACAAAGAAGTATTTAATGAACTTCTTATTTATTGGGATACAACTGAAGAAAATATCTGAAAAAAGAAAAAAAAATATGAGAGCATTTGAAAAAGGAGGTAGCCTTAATGCAGTTGGAAGTATAAATGTTGTCGAACATGCTCGACGCATGGTAATTATTACTACTTTTCAAATTAAATTTATATTTTGATTTATTATATATTTTTAATTAAATTAAACTTTATTATTTAGGAAAAGAGTTTGGGGATACCTCCACTCATGAGGGAGCTGATTATAAATACTCGAACATAAAAATCGGGAGAATTTATTGACGAACGTACTACAAAAGGTTTGGTAAGTTATTTTATTTTATTTAAATTGTTTATATTTTTTTTTATATTTAATGGAAATTTTGTGGCGTGATTTTCACGTGGAAACTGAGATACTGTGGCGTGAAAATTACGTGGCTATATCTATTATTTAATTTAATTTAAATTGTTTAAACTATATTTAACTTAATTTTTTTTTATTGTATGTGTAGGAGGATTATCAAACATTGCTCAAACAATTTTTGGTTGAAAATTCTCAATATACTCTGAGAGGTTTCAAGCCGCTTAATCCACATGTGGATTTTTATATTTGAGGTTTAGTAACGGGCGGAAAGAGACCTAATGAATGTTTATTTGGTGCTGGAACTTTGGTCGGCAGTATGAGAAAAGGAGATAGAACTTTATTTCAAAGAGTTAAAGATGGTGAAGGAACGTCACATCCACCATAATTGACACCCAAAATGATAGAAACAGTAAGACAATTGACGCTAATTGAGGCGAGATGCGAGTCGGCACTGAAGGTCCAAATGGAAGAGCAACAACGTTAAATAGAGGCAATGAAGAAGAGACAAACTGATATGAAAGAGATGATGTGGCAACATATGCAATTACAAGGTGGCGATAATCAAGCCTTTGTTGAAAATGAAGGAGTTGGTGGTCAACAATAGATGGATGACGAGGATGACGATGATTTTGACCTTGACGAGTTTCCCGATCCGAATTGATTCATAGGATTTATTCTAATTTTAAAATTTAATTTTTTTTAAATATTAATGATTCATTTTAGTATATTTTAAACTTATTATTTAAACATTTTATTATTGATTTCGTTATTTATTTATATTTATTAATTTTGGTATTAATTATATTTATTAATTTTGGTATTTATTAAGTTTTTATTTTAATATATTATTAAAAAAATTATTATTAATTTTGTATTTAAAAATAATTTAAAAACAATTTATTTATTAATTTTATTATTAATTTTAATATATTATTAAGAAAACAATTTATTATTAAAATTTTATTAAAACATAAAACAATACAATTTTTTATTTTTTTAAAAATATCTTGCCACATGATTTTCATGTCGCAGTTAGTCACGTGAATATCACGTCGCAACTTACCACATAAAAATCATGTGACAACCTTTGTACGCCTTAACTTCTATGGAGACTGTTTCGACGTGAAAATCGTGTGGCAAAATTGCGATGTGATTTTCATGTGTCACACGTGCTCCTACCACGTGAATGATCGTGGAGCTAAAAATCTGTTGTGATGTGATTTTTCATGCTGTGTCATGAATATCACGTGGCAATTGAGAATTTTTTTTTGTAGTTATTTTTATTACCTTAATAAAAAATATAATTTATAATTTGGATATTCAAAAATCAATCCAAATTAAATTATATGAAATCGGATCAAATTTTTAAATTAATCATTCAAAATCTAATCGAATTATGAATAAATATATATTTAGATCGGATAAATTTTTACCTCAAAACCCATCCAAATCGCATCGCAAACGTCTTGATATTAACTAAATAACTTCTTCATATATAGTAAGTCTCTTATATTTATTGTTACATCCCTAAAATAAGTACATCGACCCAAGAAAATATAATCATGTTGGTAATGATATTTTTTCCATCATATCATTAAATTCTATCCTCCTCAATTACCAATTGAAGCTAGAATTTTGAATTCTTCTCCTTGAGAAGCAACAGAGACGTCATATTCTCTGAACCGTTGCTACGTCAAGGGTGATTCACCTGGCTTGAAAGTGATTTTTCAGCAGCTGCAATAAATTGAAAAATGATATCATGCCAAGAATTGATAAAAAAAAGCAACTTTTGAGTTGAAAATTTTACAGCAATTTTTACATCAATTTTGCTTTATGAATGAAAACGTACAAATATTAGCAATATAAATACACATTATTATTCTTGGTAATATATAAAGACTAGATTGTTCCTCTAAAGTGTTACGTAAGAAGTTCTTTGAGTAACTTAAAAAAAGCTCTGAGTACACAATGCCACCTTACACAGGCTAGCTTTGATTGGTCTTGTGGGGTATAAAAATGTTACAAAAGCAACCAAATTCAATTGATTCTCAAAGGTCATAATCAATTTTACTATACCTACATGTTAAAAAATTTAGATCTGGTTTTAAACTCATATTTAGGAGAATCTGCCCCAATTTCAAGGTATTTACATAATAGAGTTGAGTTAGATTAACATAAACGGGCCAAGTTATATAAACCAATCTAAAGCCGATGTATATGATAGGTGAGCCGTACAATTAAATACACAAACAAAGCTTTAAAGATATATTAATAGTCATAGATGGTTGATCCCAGACAGAAAGACGATTGAATCAATTCTTATTAATCGACCATGGATAGACAATAAGACATAGATGTGTATAATCCAAGTGGACATACGGAGATCGAGTCTCTAAGACCATATAAAAACCAACAACCTAAGAAAAACCATACACTTATTCCATATGACTTATACTTGAAGTGATATTGCGACTAACCTAACACCGGTAAAATTATCAACCCGTGTATCCATCACGTACACTATTAATTGTAGTTTTTCTCGATTCCAAAAATTTGTCAATTATTATTAATTTTTTGTTTATGATAATTCTTCTTAACTCAAGTGATTTATCTAAGCACGCAACTATGTAGTTGAGCCAAAGGATTCATAAAAAAAAAGGTTATTAGAGCATCTCCAACAGTGAACTCATTTTTGGGTTCTTTGTGAGACCTATTAAGCCACGTCAGCTTGAAGCAACTCAACTAATTTTTCACTCCAATAGTGCAATTCTGAAGAACTCATATTAGGTCCCACAAGTTTATTTTATATGTTAATATTTTATTCATATTAAATTTTATATCACTTAAAATAATAATTTTAATTTTTTTACAGAAAATTATTTCAATCTACTATATAGTCCAACCGGTATATAGTGTTGTTTTAAGGAAAAATATTTCATTCTACTATATAAACTTAAAAAAAATTAGATTAAATTTTAAAAAATATTTCAATCTCTCCTTAGTTAATTTTAGTGTTTTAAATTAAATTTGATATAAAATAAAAATAAAATTAAAATTAAAAATTAAAATAAATAAAAATAAAATAAATAAAATTCAAATTAAATTTATAATTTAAACTTATAATTAAAATATAGTTTTCATATTATAAAATCAATATTTTAATATTGTAATTATAATTTTCATATGATAATTAAAATGATAAATAAAATTTTATATTAAATTATAATTTTTATATTATAAAATTAATATTTTAATATAAGAACAGTTGAAGAACCGTTGCTTAATTAAGCACCGTTCAACAACATGGCAATCTTGGAAACAACAAATATGAGTGCCATGTTGGCAAACCCACTCTAAGAACTCCCATTGGAGTTGGTCTTAGTAGCTGACACAAAAAGCTTAATCCAAAAGCCATAAATTAAATTAAGAACGATTAATGTTTAATGCACAACTTAACAACTTGAAAAGCATAACCTTAGACCATACACCTAATAAATCTCTATATATACATCTCAACTCTTGACTCTCTCATTGAACAATACCTTTTCCCAACCAATACAATCTTTTCAACCCTACTAACCATTATCAGAGTAACATAAACAAATATTTTGTTGAAATGGCAACATTTGGTGGCTATTCATTTCAGGTTTTGATAATGGTAATGGTTATAGGCTTGTTTTGCATGACAAAAATTCTGGCACAAGATTCAGAGATAGCACCCACATCACAATTGGAAACTGGAACTGGATGTGCTATGCCAGTTTCTGTGGTGATCATGTTTTGTTCTATGTTTGCTTCTTTTATGGTGTTTATGATGCAGTGAATTGGAAGGGTTGTCACTTGTTTGGGGTAATCATGTTTGTATTACGGGTTTAAAATTTATATATTGCTATATATTATATTTATAGATGGTTATAATGAATTTAAAGTTTTTTCTTTTTATGCATTGTAAAATATTATGTATATGTGTGAGTTTTTATGTAATTACTATTGAAGTCATGTTCTATCTAAAAAAATATTGAATTCTTTTGCTGTTTTTTTTATAAGCAATTTTCACTTTTAGATCCGAGATCTTGAGAGGTTAATACTACCGTTATGACTCAAGTCTTCACCATTAAACTGTGTGGATTATAAGTCTAATTAAATTTACATTCTTATGAAATGATTCTACAAGTTTTTATGTGCTACATAGATGCCGTCCAATGAAAACAAGTTATAAAATATTTGACAAGTATATCAAAATATGTTAAGTTATAGAATAATTAAGGCCAATCTTTTTGATTCAAAATTTCGTTTATTTAACAATTAACATTAATTCTTTTAGATGAATTATTTTTACCAAAAGCATGAACGACTACTATATATATATATATATATATATATATATATATATATATATATATATATATATATATATATATATATATATATATATATATATATATATATATATATATATATATATATATATATATATATATATATATATATATATATATATATATATATATATATATATATATATATATATATATATATATATATATATATATATATATATATATATATATATATATATATATATATATATATATATATATATATATATATATATATATATATATATATATATATATATATATATATATATATATATATATATATATATATATATATATATATATATATATATAACTATTTAAATGTAAAACTATTTATTTTTTATATTTATTACAAATTTGAAATAGTTATGAAATAATTATTTTTCCATAATAATCATATAATAAATATTTGAAAAATAAATAATAATCAATTAATTTGATTTTTAATTTAAAAAAAAAAATACATTTAAAAAATAAAATTTACTTAATTAATTCAAAACAACAATTTTATTATTATTATATAATTTATGTTTTTAAAATTTATTTAACTAATTGAATTTAATTAAATTTGATATAACTATTTTCTATTTTTAATTCCAAGTGTTATTTATTTTTTCTTTTAAATGGTATGTTTTTAAATATTTTCAATTTTTAAAAATAAATATTTAACATGGTAGTAATTTTAAAATTTAATTGAATGGCCCATTGTGGTTGCCAAATTCTCAAGAATTTATCCGGCCACTCTAAGTTTGACGTGACATCCCCTGGATATTATGCAATTACAATATTATCCTTGTGAAATATGAAAAGTCATTTCACTATTTTTTTTTAACATTTGGAATATTTAAAAAAGTTATTGTGAATACTAGATCTTTCATTCAAACTACTAAATTTAGGACAAGTGAATAACTAATTTTATCGATTTTTTATATTTTTATCGGATTTTTTTTTGAAAATATATGCATTTTTACTAAATATTTAGAAATGTCTAGTAAAAAATAATGTTTTTCTTGTATTTTTGCCGGATATTAAAAAAACTGTTAAAAATTCATACATTCTTTTGGATATTTTAAAAAAACCAGTAAAAATGCATGATTTCTAGTTTTTGAAAAAAATCAATAAAAGTGCATACATTTATACCGTTGATTTTGAAAAAAAAAACTGTAGTGACCCATTGTTATTTGGTTAACTAGAAATTTCAAAAAATCTAGGAAAAGCATGAAGCTTTTCAAAATTTTAAAAAATCTAGTAATTTAATTTACATTGATTTTTTTTATTTGCAGTGAGGACTAGAGGATCAGACGACAAGATTGCTTCTAGGTAGCATGAATGAGCTGCAGCTACTGCAGTAAGGGCTCGGTAGAGGGGAGGTGACGTCCAGGACTTGCATATTCGGGCGGGATAATAGCCCCGACCAATTCTGGCGTTGCGCAAAAAAAAATACCCAAGAGTATAAATGCTCGAATGACAATGAAGTTGCCACCAAATTTTATTTTTTTAAAAGGAAAATACTGATAAAATCCTTGAGGAACAAAAATAAGGTCAGTGCAACTAAATTTAGGTTGGGGAGTTGATTATGCACGGGAAAGATATTAGCACCCCGCAAGATCCATTGTAGCCAGCGAGAACCATTTAATTAGTTTTTAAAGAAATGTTAGCTTGAAATGTTAAGTTTCTTCTATTTCTTAAAAGTGTTTGCAAAAAACTAAAAAAAGATTAAAAAAATGTATTTATTAGGGTGTTTGATGAGACGTTGAATCTCGGTTCTATGTATCATCTGGTGTGATGCGGAACTCAAAGCTACGTAGTTCTCGTAGCAAAAGTTTGTTGGTTGGTTGATTCAAATTGTAAAAATGAGTTTAGTCGCGCTATGGCGGAAAAATACTCGCTGATTGAAATGAAAAGATTCGTGCTTGGGTGATAAACGTATTTTAAAGAAATTGCGTCGTCGTACATAGGCGAAAAATAAATTTGATTGATTTTGGTTGTTTTTATATGGAAGACAACTATTTGAAACTAGGATTAGGACGCCTCACGTTCATTTGCTCGAGGATAAAAGCGTATGGACCAAATTATTTCTTTTTTAATCTAATTTTATTCATAAATAGATTTAAAGATCGTTATTAGTATGTAGAAGATGAATGCTCGAACTTGAACAACGTGTACGCCTTGTTAAGTATTAACAAATGTGAGTAATGTGGATAATAATCCCATATTGAATATGAATGTGGTGACTTGAGCATTTATAAGTGAGAGAACCCATATATTTATCACCTTAAGATTTTGAGTGAGTATGTGGTGTGTCTCTCACAAAGCTCTTGCTCTAGAAAAGAAAAGTTCCACAATGTTCAATGCTCCCTAGTGAAAATCTTTCCTAACATTGGTATCATGAGCCTTTGGTTCGAGTGAAAGACCGACTTACTTGTATCAAAAGTATCTCCACAGGTTGTGGATTGAGTGTCTCGTTGAAGAGTGTCAACAACGGTACAAGGGTGCAGTTGCACAGTTGAAGTTCCCGCTTAAGGAGAAGCATTGTAGAAGCATTGTGGATAGACTCACACTTGAGAGAGAGTGTTAAGTATTAACAAGTGTGAGTAGTGTGAATAATAGTCCCACATTGAATAGGAATGTGGTGACTTGAGCATTTATACGTGAGAGAATCCATACACCTATCACCTTAAGGTTTTTTGGTGAGTATGTGGTGTGTCTCTTACAAAGGTGTTGCTCTAGAAAGAAAGTCTCATAATGTTTAATGCTTCCTAGTGAAATCTTCCCCTAACACGCCTCAAGTTTAATTATTCGGGGGAATAAAAGAATGTACACCTGATTATTCCTTTTTCATTCGATTCTAACTTCGAAATTGTGTATAGATAATTGAAGCAGCTACGTAGCAAAGATATTTTTTGTGTGAAGGTTATTTGAGGAGGACCTGTTGGAGGTAGTATGACTTAGGAGTGAGAGAGTCGAATGAAGGAATCCTATCGAGAGTTGTTTTCGGCAGATAACTTTCGAGGGCAGAAGTTTTTTAATCGGGGGAGAGTTGAAACACCCCAAATTTTAAATAAGTATTTTTTTAGTGTTTATTTGTGTGTTGTTTGAAATATTTTGAATGATTGTGCTATCTTGATGTTTGGGTAGATATAAGGATATTTAAGTAATTCAATAAATAAGAGAAATATAGAGTTTATGGGCGAAGAAATAAAAATTTAAGTTTTCATTTAAGTTGTTAGAAGTAATTAAATAATTTTGGTTATTTAGTAATAATAGAAGTAATTAGAATTATTAGTAATAATTTAAAATATTATATTTGTTATTAGATATTTATTTAAGTTTACTAATTATTTAAATAAATAATCATTGCACATTTAATTAGAAAAATAAAATAAAAGAAATTATGTTACTATTATCCATAAAAATATACCTAAATTTTATGGGATGAGTGTGTGAATATATAGGGTGTTTAATAAATTGGAATATTTTAGTGTTTATTAATACGGTAATATTTAAATTAACAATAGTAATTATATAAATAATTGTTGAGATTTATTTTTATTGATATTAATTATAAAAATATTACCGTTATGAATATTTTAGCGTCGTTATGAAGATATTATTGTGATTCATTTTTATTAATAATTATTTAAGAATCATGTAATAATAACACTAATAATGGGGATAATAAAACTTAATTTCTATTTAATTGGGATATTAAAAATAATAAGGTTATATTACCGTTAGAAAAAACACGTTAACGGTAAAAATGTAATATAATAATAATAATAATAATAATAATAATAATAATAATAATAATAATAATAATAATAATAATAATAATAATAATAATAATAATAATAATTTATACCTATATATATAAAGGGGATACTACCTTTTGGAGTGACCTATTTTTTTTCCTCCATATTTGTCCCTTACATATTATTTAAAATTCTCATAAAACCATTTATTTAATAACACTAAATGATAACGGTAGAAAAATAACTTCCCACCAATTTCAATCCAACCATCCTTTTTGCAAAATCAAGTTCAATCCAACCATCCTTTTTGCAAAATCAAGTTCAATCCATTATTGCAGTTACGATTAATAGATTAAGAAGTTATATTCCTCCTCTTTGGTAACTTCTATATAGTTATTAATTATTTCTCTTTCTCTCTTTCTTTGTCAATCTATTTTAATTATTTCTCTTTCTCTCTTACTTTACTAAGCCTTAAGTAACTCCACTATTGCAGTGAAAGAAGTGGTACATTACTTCATTATCAAGAGAATTCATTTTTTGTCAGGTATGTTTTTTAAATATAATTGAATGAATTTATTAAACATGTTAAGAACTGTTAATTTGTGTATTCTATGAAGAATTATACTATGAACTGCTAATTTCTGTTAAGACTTATACTGCGAAGAATTGTATCCGTGTATACTATGAAG